CATAAACCCTGCTTCGGAAGCCTCCTGGGATATGCACATTACATATCCCAGGAGACTTTAGGTTCCACGCAGTGGGTGGAAATGGGTGGACCTGAGGTTGGAGGAGAGCAGACCGGAGGCTGGAGGAGGGTGTACCTGGCGTGAGCAATCAGGGGGCCAGCTGGCTAAACCAGGCAGAAACAACCAGCTCCCAATGATATCAGAGTGGAAGATGGTGGTGGGGGAACCAGTGGGTGGCACTGGAGGAGCAGATTACAAAAGGACAATTTGGTTCTTCTGCTGGGAGCACTGCGGATACATGGGATGCTGTATCAATAAGGTATTTAATTTAAAAAAAAACATTTTACCTCATCAAAGTTATCTGAAAAGTTGAAATTACATTTTAGGCTGATATTACAAATAACATAAAAATACAGCTATGTCTTCAGGAGTTCTAAAAGGCTCACAAGCCCTTTTTGTTAGGGCTTCTGGACTGAAAATAACTTTAGAGCATTTCTGGTCAACCTAATTGATAAGGAGGCCCTCAAGTGTGGCCCCTGACATCACCAAAGGGTTGTACATATACAGTGTATGTAATTCACCAAAAAAAAGATCAGGCATGCTACAGTAGATGGCTAGAGACTGTGGGCATGCTACAAGAGATTATAAAAAGACTGCAGACATGCCACAGAAGGGGTTGGAGACTATGGACATGCTGTAGGGGACTGTCAAATAATTGGGACTTGGTAAAAGAGACTGCTAGAAATCAATGCAATTACTGTCAGTGCTCCCTACGACCTCTTAAACATTTACTGGCACCATATTGGTATTCCTCCTAGCAAAGCCATTAAAACATTTTGGAGTAAAAAATATATACAAAAGTGAAAAAAGAATGAACATTACAGAAAAAAAGTAAGGAAAAATAAGTGTGTAATAAATAAACCAAATTGTTTCACTAGGAGATTCCAGCATAATGAACATTTTCCTTAACTGTCTTTATCAAAGCACCTTGGCAAGTAAAACACTGACTACAGCCTGGTGGAGCCGCACAGTAGGTACAACGGGACCACATGTGGCCTGAGGGTCATAGCTTGGGCACCAAGACTTTATAAGAAGCAGAGTGAAGCCCACTAAATAACATCATAAACATTTTGTATAATATATCATATTAGTTCATGTCACTGTTTATCCTGTAGCCAACACCAGTGGCCAACTACAGTACTTTATTTCCGCTATTGTTGGTGCAGGGAATGTTTTTTTCAATTTGCAGTATTTCACTTTCAGTTTTATTTTCAGAAACTATGCATGATTTTTACTTACCGTTATCTCTTCTGTTCTTATATATCGCTGACATATATAGTTTAATGATTTGTGTGTTCAATTTCTTTTACGTTTATGTTCTTATAGGGATAGAACGGGATGAAATTGCTATTTTATTTACAGTAGATTGGTAAAAAAAACAACTTTTTTATGACTCTATAATGCAAAAATGGTTTACATTACTGGTGAGTTCTTCTGAATGCAGGCAGGCATGTGTATTACATCACTGCCTGCATTCAGTGTCACTCTCCAGTACAAAAACCCGAGAGAAGCTGGTGAAGCAGGTCTCTGCTTCATCAGCTTCTCTGGGGGTCCCTAGGTGACATTATGGAGACCCCTGATGTCTCCATAAAGAGGACCTGTCACTGCAAATAGGCTATCACATAGGGAGCTTGCTTGCTCCCTATGTGATAGCTATAAAGTTCAGTGGAAAAAAAAAAGGTTTAAAAAATGTTTGTTACAAAAATAAATAAAAAATCACATATCAATAAAGCAATAAAAAAAATAAAATAAAGTCCCCCGCCCCCACACGCAAACATGCGTCAAGCCCGCCTACATGCGAAAACGCCGATTACATCCATTACGCCGCACATATTACATATCGCCGCGAACGCCGGAATGAGAGCAATAATTCTAGGCCATCAATCACTGATAACACTAAACTGATGAGCGGTCAAAGCTTTTAAAGCATCGGCTATGGTCAATTTTGAGTATGTTAGTTTTTTGCGATTTAACGGGTGTGCGCAATTTTAAAGCTTGACATGTTTGGTGTCTATTTACCCGACGTGACCCCGTCTTTTATATTTGACCAAAAAATTGGGTAATAATAAATGTTTTATAACATAATGTAGGGAGAACAGGGTTTTTTTTCAAAATTTTCGGTACTTTTTTTATTATACAGTAAAAAAAAAAACTGTAGTGGTGATTAAACCACCAAAAGAAAGCTCTATCTGTCCCCAAAAAATGGTATACAATTCATTTCAGTACAGCATTTCATGACGGAATAAATGTCAAAGTACTGCAGCGCTGAATACTGAAAAATGGCCTGGTCAGGAAGGGGGTATAAACACCCCAATCAGCAAGTGGTTAAACATTCCTATTTTAAACCATCTTATCATTGATTGATTCATAATTCAGTGTTAAGGTTTATTCCTAAATCTTTAATGACAACTAATAAAAATGTGCATTGTCTAGTTTGCATTTGCCATTGATGCACTACTGTGCACACATATGCACATAGCCTGGATTAATAAAGTAGGTAGCTGAATACATAGAGGACAATATGATGATCACGATGTCATGATGTCATTTGGCCGTGATCACCAGTGGAGTAGTTTTGTTTAAACAATCCTAAATTGTAAAATATTTAACAATTAAACGTACATTTTAACTATATTTCTATGCTCAAGAAGGCACAATGGTTCCAAGGCTAGTAATCCATGTTTTCATATTGTTTCTTTATTTACAAAATTGTTCGATGTCAGGGATGTTTATGAGCATCATGGGCCTCAGTATAGATCCTTTGCAGACTTCTCTCAGGAAAATGCAATGCAGAGCTTGGTATTTTTATTTCTCAATAGTTTTGGCTGTGTACACAAAGGTGCACATAAGTATAAACATGCATCACCCAAGAAAAAAAAATGGATTGCCAATCGAAACCCCCTTTAGTGGAATTATGCAGGCATTCATTTTGCTTCCTATTGCTGGGCACGTTTTTATTCTATTATCATATTGCAATATCTTAACTCCTTTAGTGCATACAAAATGCGTAATTGCTTTATTCATTAAGAACTTGAACAATATCCACAAAAAACATGGTCTGTGGTTCCCATGGTAAACATTGAGATATCTCCTTTTTCTTTTTCATTGCATGCTGGAAAATGAAAAAGTAGAATATGAATCGCTGTTATAAAAATAGACCTTTAACATGCCACGATTGAGAAGACTGTTTTAACTGCAACATCTTCAGTTAGGGGTTCAGTCTGGAGGGCAATTCACCTAGGATCTCATGCTGGGTTGGGAATTCTGTCATTTGCAGCGAGGCTGACAGCAGGAGAAGATCATAGTGGGACATTATTATTGGACATTGTGGTGTCCCCCTTGCAATCAATACACCTGGATAAGGGTCTGGTATAGGTGTTGAAAGGAAACCATGAGCCACTCTGTTTACAAAACAGAACAAAGCAGCGGGGAAATTTTATTTAGCGGCTATTTAAATGTTATTTTTTTCTTTGCAAATGTCACTTTTGATTTAGCCCATTGTATAGTTGTTCCACTTCACAGGCAGGTTTAAGGAATCCCTCAAGCATGTTATTTGATAAATTGTGTATTTTTAATATTGACCTCATAAGCCTTTTTTAAAGTGCTTCTCCCCGCTGCATTTTTAAAATAAGTTTTCATTTTTTTTCCATTGTTATATGTCCTTCCTGGCAGTGCGCAGTGCTCAGCCCTCCATGCCCTTTGTTAGACAATGCTTTGACTGAAATGGAGGAATCGATTTTCAAAGTTCACCTCCTATTGACTCCTAAGGGGCTTACACTACAGTTTTGAATTTGCGCATATTTTTAGGTAGTCTCCAAAACCCCCTGTGTATTAAATCAAGGCAGATTCACCCAACACTATTCCCTATCAACAAACAAACCATGAAGTGTAATCTTTGGAGCAATTAGACTTATACTGTGGCTTCCCCTGACCCTCTGCCAGTCCCATTCTTACCTGTCCTTGACCCATTGAGATATCACCAATAAAGTGCACAGCAGCTTGTCAAAATCTTCTGAGTTGGGCCCAAGCATATGCTGTGCATTGTCTATTCAAGCCTATAGAGAGTTCACACTCCACCAGAACAGTAACAATTTAACTATTTCTTCTCACAATGATCCTCACTTTCTCCTATGTCAAAATGCGGCCTCTGTTTCTTGAGTGCCACTATGATATTTAAAGAATATGAGCCTGCCCACAGATTCCTCCTAGTAATTGATTATGGTGGAGTGACAAGTTACACTCCCCCAGCAGCAGGAAAGGCTCATATTGGCATAATGTAATGTTGAGAATAAGACATGCAGGGAGCATGTGCTATATTAGGATGCTAAAAAAATAAGAGACTTCACAAAAATTGTTTCAGATTTTAAATAGAAAATAAATCCCATTCTATGATGATATGCAAGCATGCATTTTGGACTACATTCCACTTGCAGCACCTACCTAAACCACCTGGGTATATACACAGGGCTTTTTCTCAGTGCGCCAGTGGGCAGCAGTAAAATAAGGAGAAGGCAAGTACCAGCAGTGAAGGGGATGGGCTATCAAGTGAACCTGCTTCTCTGTCCTGAATGGGCAAAGTACAGGTTTGCTATAGCTCTCCAGCATCCACCAAAAACAGAACTATTGGTTTAGGACAAGGTGACTCTTTAAGAAGAAAAAGCAATCTAAAATTCTTGTCTGCTGTCTTTTCTTTTGAGTTGCTAGTTTTGCTGACAACATATTCTGTGTACAATTTCCTGTGACAGGGAGACTCCTGGCAGTAGACATAGAGTGTTTAATAATCATTATGGCTGTACATCTGATAGCCTTCCAACAGCTCTAAATGCATTAGCTATTAATCAATGTGGATTAAGTTAAAAAAAAAGGCCCCAGATTGCTGTTCACACGTCTGGCTGAGGTCAAGAGTGATATATTATGGGAAACGCTAGTGGTTCTGGTACCTGACATGCAGTAAATGGTTTGATCCTCCAGAGGAAAGGAGGGATGTCGAGAACTGAAATCTGGATGCTGAAGGTATTCCCCTTGAAATGAAGCAACTTTGGTTCTTCCAGGAGCTGACCACCTTGATGTCGCTCATCGGCAAGTACTTCCTACACAGGCAACAAGAGAAATCAATAAGAGGATGAACCCACAGAGGTTTTTATAAGGTGGCTGAGTGGCATTTTGAATAATGTCATCCTCCTTGGCAGGCTGTATTAAAAAGATCATAAAATGCATTTAAAGACAAAAGAATAATGCTATTAATGTCAGGCCTGGCCACATTTTACTCTGGCTGTCATTTAGCTGTAATAGAATGGCAGCGGAATTCTAATAACAAACATATTACAAATATTTCACAGCCTCTGCGTGATGACTAAATCAAGTGACAAGAGCTTATAATAAAAACAAATGCAGCCCCATTTTTTTCTTCACTGCCTGGAATTGCTCTATGAAGATTTAACCTCTGGATCTCCACGTAAGCCATAAAGAGCTTTTAAACAAGAAACATGGCAATATGAGGAAAACATTGCTTTGTACTGAGTGGTTCCCTTTTCTTTCCCTCTATAATTAAAGCATATCTCTAAGAAGAAAAACTTTTTTTTAATTTTAGTTAAAGTGGGGAAGGGTTAGAGACTCTTTGAAGTTGTTAGTGCTGTCTGACTTTATTGGGGAGATTCACCTCTCTGATTGTACTGGTGACCATGGTCACTGAGAAAGCACATAAGTGAAAATCCAAGACTATAGAATTTTTGCCAAAATAAGAGGTAAAGGAACATGGGGATACTTGTCTCACTAATGAATGTCAGTTGCGATGGGAGTCCAATAGGAGAAGACTGTTGACGTGGGTCGATGTGTTTTGTTTGTGTCACCAGGTCATCAGGACATTGTTCACAGTGATTGAAATTATTCCCCATAGCAGTATCCAGCTCCCCATGCCATTTTCCCCAAACATTTGCAAACTAACAAGATTCAGCTCTCATAAACGTCAATGGGCTTCAAGCACTATGTCTAGGGTTTGTAAATTTTGGGGTTGCTCACTTAACATCCAACAACTGATCTTGGCTTGATTTGCTCCTCATTAATATAAGATCACCAACGTATTTAGTGATGTGTCTTATTTACTAAATACCACGTGACGTTATCAGATATCCCCAAGCAAATGTTCTTGATAACTGGATCTAAAATGTTAGATTCTCCTAGCGGTCCATTATTGTTTCCCTAAATCAACACTGGCAGTGGAGAGGGGTCTGCATGCTGAAAGGATATTATTACCTGTGTATGTGCACAGATCGCTGGTAAAACAAAATCACATTCAGTCTAATACCATGTGTTGCTTCTTTTCACTGCAATGCAAAGTGCCACTCAAAACTCCAGTGCATATAGCATACAGTGCAATGCACTGTGCAGTATGGTGTAAATGAGCCTTAAATGTGGGTGGTAGACAGGAGCAAACTTATTTGCAAATTAGCCAAATTTCTCTGAATATATGCATGCAGATCAGTCCAGTCTGCAGATAATCATATAATTTATAAATTACAATTGCCTGGATTCTTGAACTGTGTGGTTCACAGACAGATCTTCATTCATATATTCAGCAGAATCTGAAATTTCCAAATCACAGTTTCATCTGATTTTATTATTGCTATTAATGTTTATGAGCAGTATAAATGTGACCCCACTCCTTAGCACTGACCCCCCAGTGCACAGTAATAGAGACTTGCTTCTTCTACACATGTTTCCTCATGACAAAAGAAAACACAGATATAAAAGCAACTCGGCTATAGCCCTTTATAACCCGGGCCCCAGAATCAGGTATTATTTGGATTCATGCTCAGATATATCAGCAGCTTAGCTGCCTATTTTGTTACTGGACCCCAGACTTAGGTATTATCTGGATTATTGCACATATACAGTATATATAAGCTATCTATTCTGTGATAGGACCCCAGAATCAAGTGTTTTTTTGGATTCTTGCTCAGATATATTAGGAGCCCAGTTGTCTATTTAGTGATAGAACCCCAGAATCTGGTATTATCTGGAATGTTGCTCAGACATATAAGCATCCCAGCTGTCTATTTAGTGATTAGACCTCACAATCAGGTATCATCTGGATTCTTGCTTAGACATATAAGTAATCCAGCTTATTATTTAGTGATTGGACCCCAGAATAAAGTGTTTTCTGGATTTTTGCTCACCAATTTTGTACTGGTGAAAAATGTATCTTCGTTTCCATTACCTGCGTCTGTGATGTTACACCCATTACTCAGAGAACACACATTTCTAACTGTTGGTCACTTAATTTAGGAGGACAGATGATTTCCTATGTGCCCCTACTGCTGGAACTAAACATGCTGCCAGATCAAGGGGAAATACTGTAGCTTGTAAATGTGCAAAATCTTCTTAGATATCCCTTACTTTTAATACTGCTCAATCAGGCAAAATTCTGTAGTAGTTAATAGTCATCAGGCAATCAGCCTTCTATTCTTTTGTTCTAGCTACTACTGGCTGATGAAATAATGAAAGGAAAAATCCAATTGGCTGCTCTGGATTACTAAGTTTTGAGTGGTTTTTACATGTTTTTAAATTGCTGTATTTTCCCTCACATTTGACACAAGTACTTTGGTGATAACATATTAGGCAGTACTTTGTGTTTCCCTGCATAACTAGTGAACATTGTGTCTGGTGTGCCTTATTAAAGTCTGTTAGGTCTCTAATCAAGTGAAACGTCTAGCTCTCTGCAATAGAGGAGATAGTACACTGAGTGGCCAGATTATTATGACCACCTGACGTTTGTAGGCAAATTCGCTATAATTAGCTATAATTTTGCGCAGAAGTTGCTAGAGGGCCAGACCATTATAAATAGGGAAGCAGGTTGTTTACCACGACAGTAGAAGTGATTTTTTTTCTGAAGATGTGGGTAAACAACGCAATTTAACAGCCTTTGAACGTGGGGTGATTGTTGGTGCTCGGAGCCATGGAGCGAGTATCAGCAAAACAGCAGAATTTGTTAAATGTTCAAGAGCAGCTGTTGTTAAATTGTTTAAAGACTGGACTGTCAGCCGAAAATCTGGGTCTGAACGTGCAAATTGTGGCCGTCAGCGACTAGTCAATGTTAGGGCAGAACGGAGAGTGGCAAGACTGGTACAAGACAACAGAAGGGCAACAGTGCAGTGTCAGATTCCTCACATCACCTTTCAACATCTCGTAGAGTCACGAGGCGGCCCAACGCAGTCATCTCGTGGAGTCATCTCGTGGCCCAACGAAGTACTGATGGGGTGGTCATAGTAATCTGGCCACTCAGTGTATACCCACCTCTCTGGTGCCCCAGTCTCTATTCCATTGCAGTGCTACAGCTTCCATCAGTCACTTTGGCATTCAACACTTTTAGAAGGGTTGAATGTTGGTGTTTCTCACTACATTCTGTTGTTCCTTTCTCTGATCCCCTACATCAATGCCTCATTCTTCAGTCACATATGTGTTGGAGACACAGGCATTTGGCAGGGGACACAGGCATTTGACAGGTGTCAAATGCTGAAGAAACTGACAATGACTGATGAAGGCTCCAGCACTGGAGGGAGGTGGGTGGCATGAGCTTCTGGAGAAGTGTGTATATTATCTATTCTATTGCAGGTTGCTGGCAGTTGCATTTGCTTAGTGACCTGGCATGGTTTGTTTAAACTTACAGTGCATGGAAAAGCAGTTGGGGAGGGTTCCCTGACAGTCTGGAATCTTATCTTAAATATGCTACTGACCTGGAAATCTTCTAGGAGATGTGGCAAGAGGGAGTGGGTATCTGAGTGGCTGAACATATGGCAGTTCAAAGGAGAGCTGCAGTGAGCACAGAGCTGACCATTGGTAGTGGGATGTTTGCAATATATTTTGTTATAACACCGGTTATGATCATGTCATTATAATTAGGGATGCACCGATACTGTTTTTTCAGTATCGAGTATGAGTACCTATATTTTCTTTTCGGTACTCGCTGATACTGAATACCGATACCTGAAGTCCCATTAAGGAAGCCAGACGGAATGTAATGTCTCAGCGCCCAGCTTTCCAATTAGTTGGGAAGCTTTCTTCATGCTCCCTCATCACCAGGTGACGAGGAAGCATGGAGCCGACTTTCTGGCCAATCAGGAAGAGGTGCGGCAAGTCATTACACAGCGCCCGGCTTCCTGATTGACCGGGAAGCCAGCCCCATGCTACCTCATCATGAGGTGACCAGGAAGCATGGAGCCGGCTTCCCAGCCAATCAGAAGGCCAGGCAGCGTGTAATGACTCGCCGCCCGGCTTCCTGATACCGGAAGTACCAGTATCGGGATAGGCACCGGGAGCATTTGGGCAAGTATGAGTACTCGCCCAAATACACGGCATCGGCACTAATACTAGTATTGGTATTGGTGCATCCCTAATTATAATACAGGAAGAACCTCTCACACAGGACTCATGTTGATTTTGCAAGTTCACTGGATCTCACATCTACAAAATGGAAGCACATATGAAGCTGCAAAAAATACCTACTAACGTTCTTACAATGCATATAGCTAACTTAGTAGGAATATTTTTACTGACACACCTGTCTGGAACTTGTCTGTATTCTGGCCTATAAAGCACACCTGCACATATTTGCACATGACCAAACTTTGCCAAGCCTAGTAGTTACTGTTTATGTACTCCAAATTCACTATTGTTTAAATGCAGGCTCTGTATAGAATTGGATTTTCTGTTTGATTTAAAAATAGTACAGTAATATCTATCAGTACATAAAAGTGTAGAGCAGCCAACAGACAAACCTTTCTTGCCAATGCTTTATCTGCCAGATTGACAGAATGTAAGTCTTACTAACTTTTCAGGCCATTTATATAGCCCATGTTTTATACAGATTGCTACTATTTCATATAGTCTAAGCTACTATTTGGAAAAATGTTACCTTTATAAAAGCATGTGTTATCGTCCATGGTTATATATAGAACTCGGTGCAGCCCAGGGCTGATTTTGCAGCAAGCAGAACAGTCTAGCTGTGAAAAGGGACACAGCACAAGCATAGATCATTCTGGGGAAGAGAGCAATTGCTGCATTTGACACTCTCATTTTATTATAAGAACAAAGG